GGTGTAGTGTCGTTGGTGTGGTCAACCAGTAGATTTGTCCAGTTCGTCATGTCCCCGTGTATTTGGTCCACTTTTTGGCGTGCAGAATCGTCGGTGTCCCGAGAGCGTTGGGAATGCCGATCAAGTCGTTGCTCGTAGGCTCGGAGACGGGCGTCGTGTGCCTCCATTTCACCTTCCAGACGTGCGAGACACTCCTCAACACGTACTTTTTCAGCATCTCTGTCACGAATGACCTGGGAGAGCTCAGACTGCGCGTGGTCCGCCGCCGTCTTAACCTCCTGTAACCTGTCAGTGAGGCGGGCGAAATCGTAAACCGTAGGAGGAGATCCCAGCTGATCAGTCTGGGCTCGTCCGACACGCAACTCTGCCAAGGCGTCCTGTACATCAGGTAAACGCTGCTCGATTTCAGAGGTCCGGTTAGCGAGGGGCTGCACGACAGCGTCGGTCGCATCAAGCCGTTGAGCGATAACTCTCTCAGCATTCTGCAACATGCCGATCAGGGTCGACGAGTTGGTGTTCGCTTCAGTGCGAAGCGTCGCCGTAGTGTGGTCCATACGGGATCGTAGATCATTGAGTTGGGACTGGACGTCGCCGAGGTCGCGTGCCTCAGCTGGAGGCGGTCGGTTCCGGAGCTGGTCGTGGATCTCGTCATGTAGGATCCTGACCGCTGAAACGCCTGTGTCGCGGACGATCACAAGCTGTTGCTCCATCTGCGCAAGGTAATTGCGCAGGTGCTCGACCGTCGCTGACCGTTCACCTGAGTATGACATCTCGCGGTCAACCTGGACCTGCAGCTCACCTAAAATACGACGATATTCAGCGATCCTGGAATCTATGATCGCTAAGGCGCCGTCGAAATCTTGACGTAGAGCAGCAGCGTTGGCAGCGTTCGTCTGAACGCTCTGCATCAGTCCAGAATACTGCCTGGGCACGAAGGTTTCAACCTGGTCTCGCAGCTCGGCAATTTCACCTGCAGCGGACGTGGCCGACTGCAGGTCGTCTGAGAAGGAGAGGTGAGGAGCGTCGGCGCCCTGATGCATCCTCTCGCGAGGAGTGCATGGCCTCTGAGAGGCCGCACGCGGGCTCGACCTATTCTCGCCGTAGGGGCCTGTGGCCTCACGACGGTTACGCATGGACGAGCTGCGGCTGGGGCCGTGTGCGTGGTGTCTGACGGGATGATACCTTGGGGCACTGCGTCTGCAGCTGTGCCGCCACTGGTCTACCGAGCTCCTCAAAGGCGGCAACGTGCTCCGACACAGGAACGGTCGCAGGACTGGTCAGACCAGCACTGGGGTTCCATCGGCGGTTAGCGCGGAAGCGCCCTGGAGTGTCAGGACCAGCGGGGCTGGCGCCCGACGCAGCAGGGATTGCTCCCGACGGAAGAGGAGATGGAGGGTCGAAGGTAGGCGTGTGAACTCCTCCACTGCCTGCTCCTACCCCTTCCCCTGTCCCCCCGCGGGCGGCGCGGCGTTGAAGTTCAGCAGCTAGCCGCGCCTCGGGCCCGCCCGAGCTATGGGGGCATCTGGGACACCCACACGGTCACCTTAAGGCTCTCCAACTCAGCACCGATCCGTCGCGCCGTCGGAGAGCTCGGACGCGACGCCTCGAAGGATCCCTTACGGCGCATGCGCCGCTTGGGCTCCATCGAGGCCGCGTGCGAGATCGCGACGCTGGGCTCGGTGAACAGTGAGCTTTAAGGGCTGATAACCTGCGTATGGGGTTGGAGTACAAAGGTCAGAACCCCTGATCCGTCGGTAGAGGATAGGAAGGAAAGATGGAGATCTTTTCCTCCTGCACGATTGAAGGTCCGATCGATGCCAATCCAATACCTGAGCCCAACCAGCCAGGAGCAGGAGAATAAGGATAAGGAATATATATGAGGGTTTGATACGGGTTCTATTCGCGCCTGAGGCGCCGCGCCTCGATGGCGCGCGCCTTGCCCGCTGTGAATCCAGCCTGCGCCAGGCACGAGTCCTCGTCGATGATCAGCGCGTGGCAATTGGTCGCCATCAGCTGGCGAATATTGAAGCTGCACAGCGCGAGCGAGAACGGGGGCCAGGCGCAGCACCACCTGCATCCCCGCGGCGGGCAGCTTGCCCATGGCGTCTGGCGGCAGCCCGTAGCTCTTCACTAGAGCGTCTTGGGCGTCGGCGCGCCTGCCTTGCTGGCGGGGCGCCGCTGCGCCAGCCGGCAGCGTCGCGCCCGCGGCGGCTGACTGCGCTGCCGCGGCGCCGCGGGGATCGCCGCTGCGGCCGCCGCCTCCGCGCGGGCGGCGCGAGCGAGCGCCGCGGCTGGCACTCGCGGAGCCATCTCGGCCACGACACCCATGCCCAGCATCTTTCTGGAACCTCTGGCGCGCGCGCGCAACGCGCGGCGAGTCGCAAACTCGCGCCCGCATGTGGGGGGCCCAGGCCCCCGCAGCTCGCAGCGCCACAGCGCCGTCGGCGGTGGGGGCGCGCCCTCGGCGGCGGGGGGCGGCTGCCAGCCAGGCGGCGGGATCGCCACCGCGCGAGCCTGCGCCCGCAGCAGGCCAGGGCCCAGCGTCAGGTAGCGCTCGCGGAGCTCCTCGTTGCCGAACAGCGCGGCGACGTCCAGGGCGCCACGCGGAATCTGGAGGTCCTCCAGCAGCGCGGTGCCCTCCGCGATCGCCAGCAACGCCTCCACGTCCGCGACGAACCGCAGCGCGCACGGGCTGACGCCGACGAGGACCGAGCCGTCGAGGGCGGGGACGGGCTCCTGCGGCAACTCGCCGGAGACCACCGCGAGCCCCTGAGGACGTTGATCAGGTAGACGAAGCCATCGACGATACTGGCGTAGGCGACGAACTCGAAGTTCAACTCGCGCGGCCGCTACGCCCAGCCTCTCCAGCACCGCCACGTCGGCCATCGCCTTGTAGCGCAGAATGGACCTGCCGTTGTCAGCCAGCGCCTGCTGGCCGTCATCCGCGAGGATCGGGATATTCTGGCAGGCGGCCCCCGCAAGCATGCGGCGCCCCATGCTGTCCAGCACCTTGTCGATCTGCAGCTGCTGCGACCCGCTGAGCACGAGCACGCCCATGCCGCTCAGCGCCGCATCCCACACCACCGCGCCGAACACGACGCGCGTGAGGCGCCAGACGCGGTTGCGAGCCCAGAAGCGCCCCATGCAGGAAAATCCCCTGCGGGCAGCTTGCAGACGTCGACGAAGTTCGGCCTGCGCGCTGCCCGAAATAGAAGTCTGGATGCCGAGGGCCACGTTGTCGCACTGCACGACGCCCTCGATGGACTCCGCACCGCAGAAGAGCATCCGCGCCTCGTGCTGGGAGCCCTCCCCGAGGAAGCACGGCGAGACCGAGACCGAGCTCTTGGTCGGGTTGCGCGTGTAGCCGCAGGGCTGCAAGGCGCGCTTCAGCCCGTTGTGCGAGCGGCGCGAGGCGAAGCCCGCGTTGCGCGCGGAGGTGACGACGCTCGCGCGGTTGATGTCGTCGGCGTAGATCCTCGTGCCAAGTGGAGCAGCTACATCAAGTAGCGAACACCACGCTGTGCAAATCGACTCGCTCGGCCAGATCGTCGCGTCGATGTCGACCCGAGGCGCGGGCGGCAAGAGGGGCTGCCCCCCCCCCCCCACCCCCCCACACTCCTCGCCGGTGGTCGGGGGCTCGGGAAGCTCGGAGGCGGCCCAGGCGGCGGCGCGAAGACGACGAAGACACGTCGCGATGGGATCGCGGAAGGTCCTCGCGAAGAAGAGCGCCGCGGGCGCGTCGCCCACGAAGGCCCCGCAGCTGTTGCGAAGGTCCTGAGCGCCGTCGGTGCCCTCGACGCGGAAGGTGCTGAGCCCGCGGCGCTGGTGGAAGTAGTCGGCGTCCTTGGGGCGCACCGCCGCCTCGACCGTCTGCCGCGGGGCATCCTTGGCGGTCGGGGCCGCGATGCCTAGGCGACGAAGGCGACCGAGAAGACCTTCCTGACAAAGGAGTGTTCCTTCGCGGCTGCGGCCGCGTAGGTATCCATGCTCGCGTGGAGGTGGACGGCCAGGTGGAGCCCGTTGAAGTTGCTCTTTGTACCACGACGTCCCGACTCTGTACAGGCCATGGATGTAGCACTTAGTCTGGAACTCGGACTTGCCATTGTTCTTGTCGAGGCCTGTGGTGACGGAGTGGTGACAGATCAACGGCACGCGACGCACTCGCCGAATGTGGCCCAAAATGGTCTTGAACGCTCGCTCCGTGATGGGCGCGTCGTGCTCCTCGATGTCGTGGCCGAGCCCACGTCGATCTCCTGCGAGCCGATGGCGAGGCTGCAGAACAGCGCGAGCGGGCAGAAACCGACCATTTTGGGACGAAAGTGGTCGGTTTTGCGGCGGCCGAGGGGGTTCGTCATCCTCCTCCTCGGCGTCGCCAGCACGACGGTGACGTGGCTGCAAGCTGGAGCGTGTCCGTGGCCGCGCGCCGCTGCCAACAACCGGCGGAGGTTCGTCATCCCCCGCATCATCGGCATCGCCAGGGCGGCGCGGACGTCGCCGTCGTCGGCCGTCATACCGACGCCAGGGCTCTAGCGCGAGACGAAGGACTTCAGTAGGGACGCTGCGTGGGGGTGCGGCTCGTCGCCGCGTGGCTTTGGAGAGCACCTCGAACATCTTCTCGAAGTCCTCGCGGGCGATCTCGAGGTGATCGTAGGCGAACGTCGGCGCGCGCGGCAACTGGTCGATGTACTGCTGGCGGTACTTGGTGAAGTCGATGGGGACCGCGTCGAGGCCACCGTCGGCGCCAACCTGCGCGAAGTGCTGCACGATCTCGGCACGCCTCGGGACGAAGCCGTCGGCCACGTTGTAGCGACGGCGGCGAGGGCCCTTGCACTGGGCGGCCAGCAGATGGCTGGGGCGCCACATCTCGGCGAAATGCCGTTTCCGCCAGGCCTCGTCAGGAGGAGGAGGAGGAGGAGGAGGAGGAGGAGGAGGAGGAGGAGGAGGAGGAGGAGGAGGAGAAGAAGCGCGGGCGGGTGCGGCTCGCCGCCGCCCGCGCCGGCCTCCAGTCGACGCGGCTCGCTGCCGCGGGGGCTCCGCGCCGCCCGCCCGCACAACCGCCCGCTGGCGGCCTCGGCGGTGGAGGACGGCGTGCCGCGCCGCGGCTGGCTCTGCCGGGCTCTGGGGGGTCCCCTGCTCGGGCGCCGCGCGAGGTGCCCCTGGCCAGAGGCGTCCGGCCCCAGGGTTCCCAGGGAGGTCCCCGCGGCCTCCAGAGCGCCCCTCATGGGGCCCAGGACCCCCCAGGACTCAGATGCGGAGCGAAAGACTGGGGGCACCTTAGGCCAGGAACACCATTAGAGCCCGTTTGTGCTACCACTCGCGATAACGCCCGTGACTGGCCCCGCCTCCCCCCACTTGGTCACGTCACGATTCGCGGCGGCACAGGCTGGGAGCCATACCTGAGCATTCCCAGACCGTACCGGCGCGAATCGCTACATGACGAGCCCCCTCTCACACACACACACACACACACACATGAATATATACACACACGCACACACACACACACACTGGTCACGCACGTTATGATCAGCGAAAAAACCACACTCAAACCGATAGGGAGGAAGAATGGTGAAGGGGTCCCCGTTCGAGCGGGGACCCCCATCATGGGTCCCCCATAATGGGTCCCCGTAACTCCTCCCCAGGAATTCTGAGGGTCGTATTGGTATGTGGGTATGGGTGTTAGTTGTCAGCCCGTGACGTTATGGGGGTGAACAAACGGTCTCTTAGCAGCCCCCGACCTGCCCAGCCTGGGCTCTCGGAGGACGACCCGCACAGCTCCGTGGCCGTGGTGGTGGCTGTCGGGCGGCAGGCCGAGCGTGGGGATGGCCTGAGGGGCAACGATAGGGGGGGGGGCTGGCACATGAGGGGGACACATCGACCTGGAATCGGCAATACATCGCCGATGGATCGACGAATAGACCCCCGAGAGCGGATCCGCACGCTCCCGGGCAGGTCGGGGCCATCGTGCCCACATCGGCGATCCATGGGCGATTGGGGGTCGATGCCTCCCCCCCTGTGCCCATCCCCCCCTACACCCTGCGAAATGCTTAAGAAATCATGGGTTAAGAAATTCATAGTCTCAGAACTTGAATAAAAACCTAAAATTTCTATCAAAATCTTGGGATTTACATTGAAACATTAAGAATAATCGAGACTCTGGTCGAAAACGTAAGTTTTCTTAAGCATCGCCTAAGGTGTATGATTGCCCCTGATGGCCGAGAGCGTCTGGCGTTCCCTCTGCGCCTGGCGGGCCCCTCTGGCGGCCTGCTTCTGCTGCGCGGGGGGCTTTTGGCCGCGAGCCCAAGGGGGGAAGCAGAGGCATCCCGGATGGGGTATGAGCAGAGGGGGTCAGAAGATCGCGCCGCATCGCCAACGCATCCCCAGTGCATCGCCGATGCATCGCCAATACTTCGGCAACGCCGACGATGCACCAACACCGACGGCGTGGAGAAAATCAGTTCCCACATCGAGCCGCGATCCTCCAACCCTAGAGGACTGCAGAGTGGGGGGCCCTTCTCAAAGGCTCGAAGGCCTCGGGCGTTCTGAGAAGAGTTCTAGGCCTCCTACGAAGGCAGAGGCGGAATCTCAGAAGGCCAGAGGGCTTCTGAGAAACACCGCCACCTTCTGAGAAGGCCTGCCCCCTCTCAATCTCCTCCTCCTCCTCCTCCTCCTCCTCCTC